CGTACGGACAACGCAGGTAGTGACCATGTGGCGGCCAATGTGGATGCAACCTGTGAGCCCCTGGGCCACACAAAGACCTACAAGGGAATGGGCGCTGTCACCCCGCCGACCGCCACACGCCGGAGGTTTCGCCACCAAACAACACACACTCGGTTGGTGGTTTATATCAGTTGGCCGTCTTTGTCTCGATTTGTGAGAGAAAAATCGTTCGGCTAGAAATTTACGATCGTTTACGACAAGCCGATAAGTGTGCATGTTAACATCGACGATACCGCTGGACTCCACCGCCACAAGCGTGTTTATTTGACGAATGAAGCCGCTCGACGACTGGCATGCTTCGCTGATGAGGTGATACAAAACGCCAGATCACCACTGCTCAACACTCTGCTAGCCCAGCAAGCCTCAACGAAAAAGAGGGCCATGCCGTTATATAGCAGCCGGATCGCCTCGCAGCAGCAAGTGCACGTCCCAACATCCAAGCGTGGGGAAGTGCTTCTCATGAGGAAAATGGGAATTCTGCAGAACACGACGCCACCATCATCAGGGGCCAAGCGGGCCTATGATGCCATTCTATCAGGGAACCTCACAACTTCACAAGTAGCTGCCCTGGATGAACTATTCCCAACAACAAAAACACGAGCTGGTCAAGTAGTCCGCCGGGCCACGGTCCTGGCCAACTAGGCCTTGATCACCGTCTGCCGGACATCGTATACATCAATGGATAACATCTCCATTTTATCGTGGAACGTACGGGGTCTGAACTCCAGAGCGCGCCGAGACAACGTGCGGACGCTCGTGGTTGACATTAGGCCGGCTATCGTTGCTCTACAAGAAACCAAACTTGATGTAATTCCTCAGCGCTTGATATTCTCCATGCTCGGTGCATGCTTCAGGGATTTTGCGTTTCTACCTGCCTCTTCCACTCGTGGCGGTATATTGATAGCGGGGAGACAACCAGATGTGTCCCTCAGCGATGTGCTTGTAGGCTGCTACTCCGTCACTGTGCGGGTAAGGCAGCAACTGCAGGGGAACGATGAGTCAGGTTGGTGGCTCACAGCAGTATATGGGCCTCAAGCGGATTCAAAAAAGGCCATTTTCCGGGAGGAGTTGGAAGCCATCCGGGACGCCTGCCATGGGCCTTGGGCGGTGACCGGTGACTTCAATCTCATTCTGAATGAGGCGGACAAGAACAACCAACGTATTGACAGGGCCAACTTAAGGAGGTTCAGAAGAACAGTGGCAGAGCTTCACGTGGAGCAACGAGCGTGACTCACCGACGCTCGTCCGCCTTGACCGAGTCCTGGTATCCGTAGACTGGGACGAGTTGTTCCCCAGTTCGCACCTGCGCGGCCTCGGCTCCGATGCCTCGGACCACTGTCCGCTCCTGCTGCACACCTGTCTGGGAGCTATGTCAAAGGCACGTTTCCACTTCGAAATCTTCTGGCCAAAATTCATTGACTACCTGGACACGGTATCCGTAGCATGGACGCGGCCGGCACATCCTTGCCCCATTACGCGGCTCGACATTATGTTACGCAAGTTGGTGCGCGAGTTGCAAAGATGGTTGCTTCAGGACTTTCCAACTTGGCGACGCCGGGAGCAGGACTGAGCACGGTGACAAACCCCGTCCGTAGATAGTTCTTAACGTCTATGTAATCCCTTTTAAGTTTCTGTTGCTGGCCGGCATAGGCCATTTGTAATTTAAACTCTCTTCCTTCTTAATATAAATGATACGCAAGACTCTTGCGTATTCGAGAAAAAAATAATGCACCATCTCAGTTGGTTTCTCAAAACAAACACACATATTCATCAGGATCCGGGGGGACTACTACTTGCTTCGGGCATCATCATTTGGTGTACTACTACTTGTAATTATAGCCTTATACCAGACATGTTATTATACTTCCTATATACATAGTAAATAAAAGTTGGTGGTGTTACCAGGCACGTCATGGTCCACGTCGAGCCGGAGGATTTTCCCTAGCAGTGAGCTCTTGTTTGATGAGACGAAATCAGCCGAAACGCCATGCCCGGTAACGAGGTTAAAGGGATGGATCATTGGGCCGGAAGAAGATCTGGCCTCCATGGTCAAAGCAGTGAAAACCCAGCCTGGGCCGCAGGTAAGTCCATCGAGAGCACCGTGAGATGGAAATGAAAGCAGGCAGGAATTCTAATAAATGCTACTGGTAGTGTAGGAGTAGTTAACAACTGCTATGAGTAGCAATATAATCTTGACCTTGATTACATCTGACCGATCAGAGTTATTCGTCGTCAATTAGATATTCAGACCAGGAACTCGATCACAATGCAAGGGGGGCAAAAAGATTTGCAGGAAAATTAAGCTACGCACCTCGAAACCATGCATGCTCTCCCGGGGAGAGCTCCTTTACCACGAGGATGGCGCACCAGCCTGCTGACGCCTCCATGGCCGCGCGGCCACAGTCGTCGTCGGACTTGGTGGTGGTGTAAGAAACGAAGAGCCGGCCATCCATGCGCGGGCGGGTGAAAGACCACACTAACCAGGCCGCGTAGGCTGTCGCCCACCAGCATGGGCATGGCGGCCCTCGTCTCCACTGCCGCCGGCATGGACGCCAACCACACCTCGCCCTGCTGACGCTGAGAGCACGTCCCGATCGACCCACCCGGGGCCACGATCACGAGGGGGCAGAGCTACGAGACAGGTACCCGGTGGAGCTCGACAGCAAAGCCGGTACACGGCGCAGGAAGTGAGGAGGCCGGTGTCAGCTGGGATCCAAGCAGGGAAACACACCTACGTGCAGGGGATGGTATTGGTACAAAAAGAATTAGCAGCTAGTTAACAAGTGCTAGCAGCTGAGTAAGGCGCTATAGATTGATAAAATCAAATCTCAAAGTACGTAATCTTATATCGCTGCTTGACGTTGAGACAGGGAGTTCTCCTGACCACCATGCACCTACCCTGACCGCTAGCCCAACATCAGTGGCACCTTGTTGCGCGTGCGTGGCACCGGCTCCCGTACAGCGGCGTCTTCTCGCCATGCGTGCATGACCGCGGCGCTCGTCCTCGTCTGGTCAAACTTCTGGAGCTGTAGAGGAGAGGACAAGGCATTCGTCCATTGTTGGTGACTGGTGAGATTTGATCTGTGATGAATTCCTTCCACACACGTCTCCAGTCTCCGATACTCTTGGCGGGCAGGCTCCAACAAGAAGTGATCAAGGAAAGGCCAGCTCTCTCCTAGACAAGGTAACAAATAGCGGATATCGGGTCTATAGCGGATTGACGTCTACGCTGCGGATTGCGGATAGCGGACGCTAAGTTCAGATAACATAGTCTAATAATCTCATATAACTTAAGTATATGTATATCCTAAAAAATGACTTTCTTACGCATTAACAAATCAACAAAATACAAATTAATCATATACTAATAAACATATAACTTAAATAGTGTAAGTAGATATTTAATTATATTCAAAAAGTTGATTCTCGATCAAATATACCTTAAATTAAGTATGAACTAGTTATGTTCCGGACTTGGACCGCTATAGCGGACCTTTCGTCAAAAAAACGGCCGTTATAGCGGCTTGCTGCATCAAATAGCGGGTGCTAAGTTTCAACATACTATATCCAAGCCGCTATGCCATAGCGGTAGCGGTAAGGGGCCGTTACCGCTATTGCGGCCGCTATGAACGCTATTTAGTACCTTGCTCCTAGACTAAAATATAGAAATAAATTTTAAAAAGCATCCAAATATTTTCCTATAATAAATATGCATTTGAAAAATGCGAGAATCCGATTTAATGTTAAAAAATCATAGAAAATTATTTTAACTTGGAAAAAATATTAAACCAGTTTTATATTTTTTTCTAAGATCACGCTCTACGTTTCTCAGAGCTAGGTGCTATAACATATAGAATTATTTTTAGAAAACGTATGAAGTTCCACCTCTCAAGCTCGTCCAAATTGTCATCCTGTATGAAGTCTGGCATCTCGAGCTCATTCAAATTGTCTTCCCGCTCGATCATGTGTTATCGGTGCATGTGCAGACCTACGACAATGATGACAAACAAGGCAGCACTCATACAGTCATATCCATCCAGATAATATTGCCAGCCAAGTCGCTAACACTGTTCACGCCGGATAGCCCAATGAAGTCAGGTGGGCTGGGCCAAGCCCAGCGAGCTCGGTCTGGACCAGGCCTATTTTGATCTAAGAGCATGTCAAGAGAATTGTGGCTATCTAGCTTGCTATTACTATTTTTAGCTAAAACTCTAGAAAAATTGCCTCCAACAGACTAGCCAATGCGATTGCTATCTTATTCGATATGCTATCCCGTGAGCTTCGGCGGCTAAATTTGTGTAGCTGCCTTGCTATCTTGGTGTATGTGAGGCTGACAACTAGTGCCATATTTGCATTGCTCTAAATTACATTCCTTTCTTTTGAAGATATAGCTAATCTGATAGAATATGTTGGATTATGGACAAAGATTTTTTATAGAATGGATAGCTAAATAAAGATATAGTCTGCGGGACAGCCAGCTCTACGCCTCTCTGACTCCACGGTCCATCGATCCTAGCTCACCCCAAACTGTGTGACCGTCTGCATGCATTTACTTCTGGTCCTTCCTCATTCAGCTGAAGTGATCTCCAGTCGAGACGGGCAAGCAAGTACTCGTTTGCACAACCGGAGCATCCGCTCATTCATCCCATCCGGAATCCGGATGGCGTCGTCCCTGTTCAGAATATGCCCTGCTGTCATGCATTAATCACAAATCACTAGTTATCCCAGAAAGCTGCCGAAATTATTTCTCTGGTTATTAGTCGATCTCCATCAGGGTTATGAACAGAACATATATAGCCGCAACTATCTCTACAAGAAATAAGATGACAGCCATTATTAATACAGCCAAAAACGTACGACGACGACGACGAACAAATAAGAAGAAGAAGGTGGTGATGGATCCATGCATCGCATAGAGTTCCCTTCTCTTCTGTAGCTGATCAAGCCGCTGCAAACTCAGCTCATCGCCGCCTGTAGCTGCAATCGCTCCGACGGAACCTGACTGGCCTGGAGCTGCCGGGGTCGATGGCGACGGGGCACCTCACGCGCACGGCGTGCTTCACCCTCACAAGCCTCCCGATCACGTGCCCTCTGGTCCTGACCGCCAGCTCCAGCGTCAGCGGCACCTTCCCTTTGCCTCCGGCGTCGTTAGCCACCGCAAGCGTGGCGCCGGCTCCATAGAGCGGCGTCTTCTCGCCGTGCTGGATCGCGGCGGCTACGCGGTGGCTCTTCCTCGGCTGGTAAAACTTGTGGAACTGCAGATCGAGGAGAGGAGAGAACAGATGAAGGGAAGGGAATTCTTTCTGCCGTTTGTTGCATGGTGAGAGAGAGATCAGAGATGGCAGTAAGGACGCGTACCTGACCGGTGGCGATGGCGATCTCCGAGTACATGAGCCGGATGGAGCTCGAGGAGACGTGGATGCCGAACATGGTGGAAGGGTTGTGGACGGACATGGCCAGCGAGCAGTTGAGCGTGACCAGCTTCGTCGGCTCCCCGGTGCGGTCCGTGCCTTACCCGGCGTAGAAGTTGTGCACTGTCAGGCTCTGCACACATGACATGCATGGAACACACAGCAATCTTTAATCTGTAACAATAGGAACCTGACAGCATGAACAATAGGTATTTTTATTTAGAAAAAATATTTTTTTGGTCTCTGCGTATGATCAATGAATACGGTATATGCATGAACTTAGGGAGTTCGGTTCAGTTGATGGGAATGCTGCGTGAACTTCAAAAGTTCAGAGATCACAATGGTCAATGGTCATTCATGCTAGAATGTGGATCGATCTTCTCGTAATGGCGAGCATCCTAGAAATTGATTCCTCTGAATCAATACAATTCGTGCTCTAAACAAGCACAGTAAATGTACCTTGACGACGACGGTGGGTTTGTAGCGGCGAGCAACGCCCCAGACGACGAGGCAGGCGACGGCGAACAAGACCACCGCGCAGCACGAGGACCACTGCGCACAAGACCACCGCGCAGCACACCGGGAGCTCATCCTCCTCCTCCTCCTCCTGGTCGACCCCGTCGTACTCGTCCGCCGCCTCCTCGTCAATGACGCCGCCCACCTCGCGCCACTTCTTGTGCTTATGGCCGGATCCGCCGCCGTGCCGCTTCTTCCGCCCGGCGCCAGCGCTGGCCCTGCTTGTGGCGGGCGAGGAGGACGGGAGCAGCGTGCCCGAGAAGCGGGTGGCGGAGGACACCCTGGAGTGGCGGCCCGTGGAGGAAGCGTGCGACGGCGACTCAAGCGGGCTGTTGTACACCGGCGTGGTGTGCGCCGTCGTCGACGACAACGACTTGTCGCCGCCGCCGTCGTGGGACGGGCTCTGCACGTAGTACGCCGGCCGCTTGTTGTTCGGGGTCTTGGGCGTCCGCGGTGGCGTCGTCGTCGCCTGGCTCGTCGCGTCCGACTCCGACGCCCCGCGCTTCATCGTATCGCGACGGTGATGGCCGGAAGGAACAACCTGCAAATAATAATTGGGGAAAAAATGTGTCTGTGGTCTGATCTCTGATGAGCTCTGAAGATTTACTACTACACAGCTTAAAATCTGCTCTCTGAATTCTGAAAGAAAGGAAGGTAGCCAGCTGGCTTTTGGAGCCACTGTGGCGGCCCTGTGTGGTGTGGATCAGATGCGAAGCAATGCGAGCCCGGGCAGTCAGGAACTCAGGATCCGGCGACAGAGAGGCGACGGAGAACCACGCAAGGCAAGGTAGGCAACAGATGAGTCACGAGGCGATGCACAGAGGAGGGAGGGAGCGAGGGAGGAAGAAGGAAGATGGATGTGGAAAATGTGGATCCATGGAGGACGAGGATGGCGCTTGCTTGCTTACCTCACCTGTGTTCTCCTTCCTGTCTTCTGTCGTCTCTTCCTCCTCGTCTAGATCTCGTTCTCTCTGGTGCGTCGTCTTGGTTGCCGCGAGATCCCGGATGAACGAAATGGAGGAGGAGCACAGCACAGCACGCAGGGTCAGGTGAGGTCAGGGTCATCGAGAGAGTGACACACGCCACACGGGACGGGACGGGAGGTGAGAGGCGTTGGGTCCCCGTCCCTTCCGCTCGGCTCACTCCTCAACGTGACGAGTAGCATGCTACCCCACACATCAGTGGGGCTGGGACTCTCTTGCTTCTTCTCCACTTGGGGCCTGTTTGATATATGGCACAAGGGTGGCTCGGCCCGTCAGCCAGGCCCAGGCCAACCATGGCCTGGTCCATACTGCACAGGCCTCCTTGTTTCATTTGCTGCAGCTGCACAGCCTGTCCCAGCCAGCCTAGTGTTTGATTTCAAGCATACAGCCTGGCCTAGCATCAACTACCTCCAACTACCGCTTGGAGATCATGTTTGATTCCGACCTGGCTGGACAACAACCGGCAACCAACAACAGGAAGGAATAGATCACAATGAAGACACCAGCATAAGGAACAATGCTTAATGAACAAGTGCATAATCCTAACAGATTATTACAAGGTGCCCAAATATAATTAACTGACAACAGATTTAAAGCATGTAAGGTTCAGTTTAACCAAATTTCGACCAAACAAAATGTTACAACAATATGAAATAAAGAAATTTGGCAAGAACATGGCCTCAGACTAATTGCTGTTCTCATTCATCATACTCAGGATAAAAAACGAAAAAAAAACAGGCCTCAGTCTAATTAGGTATTTAACCATGGAGTCATAGATGTTCAAAGTTTACAAACTACCAATGAAGCAAGGCCAAATACCAACATCAAGAGCCTAATCAGTAAGCAGCAGTACTTGAACAACAGATATAAGATAGCAACAGAAATGGAGTACACAAATTAGTAAGACACAACAGCAGCTCATCCATCCTCTAGTTCTAGTCATCACAGGCCTAAGTGGGGCAGCAGTAGTGCCCAGTATTGCCCACCTTCATCCACAGTCCAAACAACAAGATAGCAAGTGAGATGATCAACACATTCTTGGAGCAACCAGGCCTACCATCACCATTAGAAGGAGAATTGGTTTGAGGAGGAGCAACATGAGGAACCGGATCATAGGGGAGGGGAGCTGCTATTCTATGAGATGGATTGACATCTCTCATTGCTGCCTGAAAATATCTAACAGCCTGCTCATAGTTGCTATACTTCTTGTATATAGCATTTCTGACCCCAAGAACATGCTTACTGCACTCCTACCAAGTCATGTAAATCCCAGGAGTCTTCTCATAGAAAACCACATAGCAACCGGCCATTTCTGTGAAAATAAGGTGTGGTTTAGCCTCAGTCAAATGTAATGCATGAAACTTACCACGAGTGTGGAATTTGAAGATCTACGATTTGCGATGAAACAAATCGTTGATCTTAAGTCTCTCACTGATGACCAGCATCATCAAGTTCAAATCAATAGTTATGACATCACAGGCATTGTAAGAAAAGATTGGCCTCAGCTTTAGAATCTGGTGGTGTTCATCAAGCTGAAATTATTGGTGGTTGCCATACAAATAAAAAACCAGTAGAACAGCAAGTTACAAACTGCAGGCAACAGAACAACCAAACAAGTGCAAATCCAAGGTTATGGCTGCCATGGAACCCTAGTGTGCACATCCATTCACTGCCATCAGCACAAGAACGAAGGGGTTGTTGCTAAGGAAATGGATGTGCACACATGGGGGTTGATGACAGTCATGAAAAACATCAAGAACCAGGTAAACAAGGCAGCCACCTCATGTATACGTTGTTTGCATCATAGGCTTTACAGACTTCCCACAGTTACCACCAATCAAAAGAAATAAAACTAACAGTTCATAAATAGAGCCAACAGTGCCATGCAGTAGGAGATTAACATCACAAATCATGAATAGACATAAGCTTTGGCCATGGGACACAGCCATCCAATAGCAGCATCATAATTCAATTATGCTGCTAGCCACTGTATGGCTGAGTTTCATGGCCAAAGACCAGGTAATAGTGACGATGATGTAGTAAATAGAGCCAAAAGAACAGAACCAACATGTAGTAAATGTAGCCAACAAATCCAACAGAAATATATGAAACCATCAACAGTAGGAAAATAAGCAGCCAACAGAGGCCACTAATAGTGCATTACAGATAGCAGTACAGCCTCATAGATGTAGGCTCAAATAAGGTTCCTCACTGACAGCCAATGTTCCTATAGTTAGCCACCCTCCAACTACACTAACCCAAAAGGACAAGTGTCAATCAGCCAACTAAGCTGCATAAAAGCTACACCAAGGTGTGTACAAAAGGTGAGAGAGTGGGTGAGAGCGGTGGAGGAACTATACATCTCAACAGTCAACCCCCTCTTGGCCTTACTGTCCTAGTTGGACAGAACTACATATAGTAGTTCTTGGTAAGGTAGTTCCTCAGCCAAATGTTCCTATGGCTGATTGCCATGTTCACAAAGCCCCTTCCAAGGGCCTTGTTCTGTAACAGGTAGGTGTAGGCAACAATGAGAGCTTCAGTGGTGAAGCCAACCATCTCCATGACTGCAAGATAGAGGTCAGGATCCACATGTGCAGACCCAGTCTCTCTAAGTGCAGAGGTTACATTGTTGACAGCATCAGTCATGTTAGTCATCATAAGCATCTCTTCCTCACTGAAATTACCCATCTTTCTCTTTACTCCAACAGTGAAAGCCAGCAGCTCAGTTGCCTTGCTGCCCTCACCCATCTCAGGGCTGGCCTTAACATCAACAACAGTGGTGAAGCCATGGCCCTCTATCTTAGCAGCGACACTGTCAACATTGTTCACCCCAAGTGGCTCACTGGAACCTAGGGCAAACCTACCTGTGGCCATGGAAGAACCAAATATGGTCTCCATCTCAGTGTAGAACCTGATTGGGGTGTTCAGGAATTCAGCATCCTTAGGATGGTCCTGCAGTTATGTGTGCTTAATTAAATAAACAGGGAAGAAGAGAATAACTGGCTAGAAGAGGAAGAGAGAAGAGAGAAAGGCAATTGACTCTATTTCTACCATGCAGTGGCCTATGTAGTGCTCAGGTTCAAGCTTTATGGCATTCACATCATGATCAAACAGTGCACCACTAAGATCCTTCAACTTCACAACCCTAGCCCACTTCTGTCTCCACTTCCTCAAGTGATTGTACACTTGACTAGGGCTCACAGCTTCACCACAGTACTCCAGTAGAGCCTTTGCCACATGGTTCACATCCTTATCTTTGAAGCACTTGTCATCCCTACTCTCATCAGACACTATATGGGCCATCCTCATAAGGACAAACCCAGAGGTGTTGTTATTCCACCTCATGGGGGGCCTAGCACCACCAACCCCCCTGGACAGGCACTGCCTCAGGTTCATCTGCCCCCACATTCACCACCTCTAGTGCAGCAACAGCCCCAGCTGGCCTAGCACCAACCATAGCAGCTATGTCAGCAGCCCCCACAAACCCAACCATCCTAATAAGGTCAGCATCCATGACATGAAGGCAAGTATCAACAACAGATAGTATATGAAGAACAGGTAGAAGATGAACAAGACATAGAAGATGAACAACAAATAAAATATTTACACCAGATTGGTCTCAGTCATGTCCATGAAAACATAATCATCATAAAAACAATTGTAGATTGGTCTCAGTCATGTCCAACAATTATTACAAATGATTAATACACCACATGAGTTCCATATCCAGGGTCTACAAACTAAAATCATACATGAATGGAAAGCATTACTCAAACCCTAGTAGTATCCCTACCAGCCCACATGGCATTGCAAATGCCATCCCTCCTATTAGACATGTCAGTGGAGTCCTAGGACAACATGTCTCCCACAGGCTGGGTTTCATTAGTCTCAGGCTGGCTGCCTAGGAAACCCTCCTCATTTGGTACTACTTCATCCATGCCAAACCCAATGATCTAATTATGGAGAATGCAACAGGCCAGTACAAGCTTCACTTGAGTCTTGTATGTGTGGAAAGGTTTGTTGTCTAGGATACGATACGAAATCTGTTCTTGAGTGCACCAAAAGCTCTCTCCACTATCACCCTAAGGGATGAATGCCTTAGGTTGAACAGTTCCCTGGCATTGGTAGGATAATTGTGGCTCTTAAATTTAGATAAGTGGTACCTCACCCCCCTATAAGGAGGGTGGAAACCAGTGCGGCAAGCATAGCCAACATCTACCTGGTAAAACTTCCCTACAAGTGGACCAAAACATATACTACAGTGAAGGTGTGTGGCAAGTTAAAGGACAACAGTGTATGGACTATTAATTTCAGTTACCTTTAGGAACTATGAACCCATCATTCCTATCGATTGCATCAGCAAGAATGAGTGCATCATGGGCAGAGCCCTCCCAGCCAGCTAGGACATAAGTGAACTTGAGATCAAAGTCCACAGCAGCCATCACATTTTGTATGGGGTTATGTTTCCTACCCCTGAAAGCCTGCTACATGTGTCTAGGCACCCTTGCCAACACATGTGTGCCATCAATGGCACCAACATAGTCCTAGAAATGTTTAGGATAGTGGATAAGTGTAAACATGTACAATTGGTTAAACCTAAGGCAGATAAACATGATTAACAAGTACCTACATATAGGGGTACCATCTCTGGCTACCCATGATTTTTGGATGTGTGGCAGTGGTAGGAGGCTTCATCATTTCATTCCTAAGCTCACCAACAGCATAGAGAACTTGGTGTAAGAATCTACTAATTGTCGCAATGGACCACCTAAAAGACTGGTGAACTACCCTGAACCTCTGGTTGTGACCAACCACAGAGGAACATTACAACCTGCTCCACAACAGAACACCCACTGGTTTCTCTAACAAGGCCTCTAGCTCTAAAAAGGTTGCATAGATTAAAAAAAGGTTGCATAGCTCTAAAGACGGAGAAGAAGAAGAGCCGCACTAGAATAAGAAGCAGATCCGGTACGGGACGAAGCAGATCGACCCCAACCGAGACCAGCCGCACCACCGCAGGAGGAAGAAGACGAAGGACGAAGATGACCCTGTCCATGGAGCCCAGCAGGAGGCGCAGCAGAGCCACGGCCAAGCGAATCCCGACCGCCTGAACGGAGATGAAGACCGGAGAGGAAGAAGACCACCACGCCACACCACCACCACACCAACACTGCCGGTCACTCAACGTGAACGTAGTGGGGAAGACAAACTGGAAGAAGGAGAGGAAGGCAGCGGTGGAAGGAGGTGGCTTATAAAGACAACAGATTTTGCCAAGAATGAGCGCGGGAGGAAGTTTCATGGTTCCTACACGAGCCGCCGCCGCCGCCCCAAAATTGCCCGCGCGAGGACGGAGGGAGCCTAGCTCCAAAGAAATGAACCCTAGGAGCGTTCCCCCGGTTGCAGGAGAGAGAGGCCATTTGCACACGCGGAGCCGGGCCGGCAGCTGGGCCAAGCAAATCAAGCAGGCCAGGTTGCAGCTGGGGAGAGCAGGCCACCCCTTTAGCCCTATATCAAACATGCCCTTGGGCGCCCGGCCATGGAAGACACCGGCTGGTCATTCATGGGTCTAGGTCGTCAGCCATAGCCGCTACATGCATCTCCATCCCCCCATTCGTGTATATGCACTGGCTACTCTCTCGTCACTCTTTTTTTTTGTTGTTTTCACGAAGAATCGACAACATTTCAGTGTTGTTATGAAATGGTGTCCGTTCCTAACAGACACCAGTGATCTCATCAACGGATGAATAGAATTAGCAGTTAGTTAGTATAAGCAATTAGCACTACAAAGGGGCATGTCCCTTCGATAGTAGACTGTTCTAGTGAACAATTGACTTTTCCCGAACAGTCACGTCCGTACGGCATCCATACAACGTGACCCTTCACTTGTATATAATCTAAGAGATCAATGAAAGCAATTGTTGTTCTCAAATCATTGTTCATTTTCATTCACTTTTAACACGTTATCTGTACTTTCGCTCTTCTAGACAGAGAGAAGGAGAACGCAGAGGCAATGAATGCCTCTGAACCATCACCGGTAAGCATGACGAAGATCAACTTACCTTCACATCTTGTTTGTGGCTTGCTCTTCGCCCTTCGCCTCATCGATGGAGTTCACCATGGCCCGATCCACCACCACGGCCACCATGGACAACGCCGCAGCGTCTTCGAGTGCCTTGGGCCTCATGTTCACCGCAACATTGCCCATGGTCATGGCCATGGTCCCTTCGGACACCGCCTCTTCAACTCTATTGTTCGTGGCTTCCGTTCCAATGCAGTTCCTCACCATCGATGGACTCTTGTTTGTGGCCGCCATGCTTCTCCTCCGCGCGATCTTCGTCTGCAGAGCCAGCCACCATCTCCTCACCTTGGCTTGGACGGTGCTGGCCCCAGCAACGCTGCGCCTCTAGTGGTTGAAGCCCTGGCGCCACCAGTCGTGGGAAGCCCCGGCACCGCCCGTTGATGAAGTGGTTGCCAAGCCTATCGCTATACCCGCGTACGTCCCCATGGAGCCGATGTCGCCGCACCGACCGCCTCGCTTCTGGTGTGACTTCTGCAAGGAGTTCACCTTGATCCCGCACATGCTTGAGTACTCATACTCGCTGCCGACGCCCACACCTCTCTTTGACTCCGAAGTGGCGGCAGAGCAATGGCATCCCCGCTCGATCCATGGTTTCTGAACACGCGGACTGCTCCCGCGCTTGACGCCGTGAAGATTGAGGAAGAGGAAGATATGGTGACCGGCCTCGGCATCGGTGACATCTTCAATAGCAGCGGCGAGGTCTGGCATCTCGCCGTACTTCTTTCTCGACAGGGCTGGACCCTCGGCTCCTCCTCTGGCGGTGACCCCGAAACGGCTCTGCCTTTGGCACACGCGGGCCCCTCGGCTCCTCCTCCGGCGGCGACCCCGCCAACGGCTCCTCCGCCCACGACACGCGCGGAGGCTATGGCCCGCATGAAGGAGAAGGCTCTCTCGGTGGCTCCTCCAACTTCTGTTGAGGGCAACGCCACCACGCCCCCCATGATTCGGCGTCTTCTCGGTCGTAGGGTGGCCATGGTGGATAGGCGCCCGACATCCGTAGGGGAACCTAGAACCCGATGAATCTCGGCCTCCCAAGCGCGGAGGTGCTGAACATGGTCATCGGCGGGAGCGGCTTCTACTCCCCAGAGGATGGGGACTCCTCCTCGAACTAAAGATCGGCTGCAGCGATGGCGTAGTGGAGTGCGACGGCAAGCAGTTAGGGGCTGTGAAACCCTAACTGCCACCCGACCCCCTTTTATGGGCTACGCGCGCGTCAATGGGCCGGCCTAAGGCCGGTGTCCTACCCTCCCTGTTCTCCCCTGTGCATGCCGACTGGACCTTCATGGGCCAAAATCTAGGCTTCGATGGATTCATGTTTGGCAAATCAAGCTATTTACTATTTTCGTCAATTTAATATTTTCAGCATTAATTCGTATAAGACTCTGTTAGTCTCTTATAATTATATGTGCTGTAGAATTAAGTACTTTTATCTTTAGTCGCTGACTTTAACTATAGTTGTACTTGTGATATTTTATCATTGTAATATATCCATTTATGATATTATTCAAAGTATTTGTCCCTGTATGTATGGCAAATCCATTAAATAATATCCTTGTTATTATGACCATGATCTTGCAAATTATTTATTCATTAATCACTTTTACAATCGATCATTTTATTTAAGCCCCTTTTATGCTTTGACTTTAAAGCACTACGCGCTTAAATAATGGATGCGACATTTTATGTATATTTTCTCATCAATTGTATAACGCGCATGTTCCCTATTTGTTTGTTGGCCATACACAAGGTAGCACCACTGTTGCTACTGTGGGATCTACACTAAGTAAACACTTAGTGACTATCCTCAACGTGTACCCAACATCACAAATGAGAACATTTGGTCTACATCTTTTCACAAAGATGACTACCATTAATTCGCATTCCTATTGGCCATACATAAGGTAGCACCATAGTTGCTACTGTGGGATCTACACTAAGTCCACAACTTAGTGACTATCCTCAACGTGCGTACCCAATTCGTTTGTGAATTGACTAAGGTCTACATCATTCTTGATGACTACCTTAAGACGTGTTTATACAACTTGCATAATTACTTGGCATCTATTGTTAATACAAACTATGCCCAATTTGAGGTCTACACTTTTATGGTGACTACCTCCATTATTTCATTATGCACATGAGATCTTTACAACATTAATAATATAAGATTTATCTTGTCTCTATTTTACATCCCATAATTACAACACACCACAACATTTTAATAACTTAAAATGGTTTGATGGTATGCCTCGTGTAGGATCAGTGA